TAAATCAAACACTTTTTACAGCATAAGAAATGCCTTTTCAGGACAGCTGATAATGCAATTTAAAATTTCATTTGTAATTAGAAAAATATCTATTAAAAGTAATAATGCCTAAAATAAAACATAACCTAAGTACAATTTATAAAAAAAAAATATACATATAGTAGACTGAGTCTAAATAGCAAATCAAAGACAATAAAATCTATATTCTAAAAGCTGAATGAAAAAAACAAAAGGAAAATCATTCAGAAAAAGGAAAAACAACGAAAATAGGCAGTAACAAGCAGTAGCTTTATATATAACTAGCGGGTATAACCCGGCCTTGCCCGTGGCACGTATGTTATAAAATCAATGTTCTTAAAAAAATTTGAAATGATTTTGAAACTGATCGGACGGTAAACACATAACTTTCATACAAACGTTTTCCGCCAATTTACCACTGTTGCGAGTGGAATTTCCCAAATCGCTGAAACACGTATTAATTACATTCTTATGTAGAGCTTTGAAAATAAGTTTGAAGCAAATCGGACACAATTTAAAACTTCGCACAAAAAATCTTTGAGTCGCATTCCACCCGAAAAAGTTTGGATTCTGCGAAAAGTGTGAAACACGTCTCAAATGATTTTTCTTATAGATCTTTGGAAACGAATTTGAGCGCGAAACGTCACCCACCAAATCTTTGACGTCCATTTCCACCAAGGAGGAGCGGATTTTCCTTAAAGTGTGAAACACCCCTCAAATGAATTTGAACAAAGATCTTTGAAAATAAGCTTGAGGCCGATCGGATGGTAAACAAAAAAGTTACATGCAAACGTTTTTCGCGATTTTTCCACACTTGCGGGTGGAATTTCCCGAAACCCCGTCTTAACGTGCACCTACATCACATAAGGTAGCTACAGTGAAAATTTCAGCTTCCTATCTCTTACGGTTTGGGCTGTGCGTTGATCACCAATCAGTCAGTCAGTCAGTCAGGACAAACAGTTTTATATATAGAGACTACTAGGGCCTTGCCGGCCTTGCCCGTGGCACGTATGTTATAAAATAAATGTTCTCAAAAAGCTTTGAAAATGATTTTGAACCTAATTGGACGGTAAGCAAACAACTTTCATACCAACGATTTCCGCCAATTACCACTGCTGGGGGTGGAAAACCCAAATCGCTCAAACACGTATTCATTAAATTCTTATGCAGAGATTTGAAAATAAATCTGAAGCCAATTGGAAAAAATTAAAGCTTCACCGAAAAAATCTTTGAATTGCACTTTCCACCGAAGACGTTTGGATTTGCGAAAAATGTAAAACACGTGTCCAATGATTTTTAATGTAGATCCTTGGAAATAAATCTGAGACCGAAACCCACCAAATCTTTGACCCCCATTTCCACCAAGGAGGCGTGGATTTAAAAAAAATGTGCGAAACACCCATCAGATGAATTTGGACAATGATCTTTGAAAATGTTTTTGTAGCCCATCGGATGGTAAACAAAAAAGTTGCATTCAAACGTTTTACGCGATTTTTCCACACTTGCGGGTGGAATTTCCCGAAACCCCGTCTTAACGTGCACCTACAACACAAAAGGTAACTACAGTGAAAATTTCAGCCTCCTAGTTTTTACGGTTTGGGCTGTGCGTTGATCACCAATCAGTCAGTCAGTCAGGACAAATAGTTTGATATGTAGTGATTGAAAGCTGCTTTATAAACAAAGAAACAATAAAAGGCCTGTGGATACATTGATATATTTACTATGATCACGAATCATACAAACGATTTCGGTGTTTCGGTTAACGGTTCCAACCGATGCCTCGCCCCAAGGTTCGGGTCGTGTACACGTTTTCCATAACTCTGAGCCTAGGTTGGAATTCAAATCTTTGTTTGTAAATATTTTTTCTCTCAGTTTTCGATAACCAATTCAATTAATCATATATTAAATTAAACTAAATGCGGCTCAACAGCTCTAGCGCTAGAAGAAAACAAACCGTCTTTAATAGAAGATTTCAACTGATTTGCAATGTCTCTACCGGTTTTTCTCCAGAAAAAATATAAAAGCTAAAACCAATTTTTTTTGGCTCTCAAAGATTACTGCGCTTTATTATTTGATGTATACTTATTTAAATGTTTGTCAGTGGCTTGCTTGTGTCAATTATTATAATTTCTTAAAATGCGATTATATATAGGATATGAAATAGATAATATATCCATGATATTTTAATTGATTAAATATGCGCACGCCTGGGAATAAAAAGCGCGTCTTGTTAATGGCTTTATAGATATTATCTTTCGGGTCCAGCGTCCTACAGCTTGAGTTTCATTTCCTCCAACATGCGATAGACCCGGACAAATTTCTTCTCCACCAGCTCGGTAAAGGCTTTGATCTCATTCCGCACTATAGATAGCTCCAGAGCGGCCTCCGAGTTTGCTCCGTCGCATTTCTTCGAGATTTTGTCGCTCTCATACCAGCAAGCGATACCATCGACATAATCATCCACCAGTTCGGGTGCCGTCAGATCCTCCATGAACGAAATATCGCGTTTCTTCACAAACGAACTCATGAGCAACTGTAGAAAATCGCAGTTCCAATTGTTCTGCTGAAAGTAGAAATATTGGAGCGCCTTCAAATTGTCGAAGAGCGTGATCTTCAGGGAGTAGATGGTATTCGCCGATATGTCCAACATTTGCAGATGCGTTTGCTTCTTGAAGAGACCCTCTGCCAGCTCGTGCGTATTGGTAGCCGACAAGTTGAGGCGCAGCAGTGCTGTAAAACGACGCAAAGGATTGCCCTGCAAGTTGCCCAAGGGATTCTGTGATAAGTCCAAGCTGGTCACATTGCTCGCCAGCGGTATGTGCGGCAGCTCGCGCAATGAATTATTGTGCAAGTCCAGCTCCCTTATAACCCCATACACAGTTAGGCGGCGCAGATCGCAGCTGTGGGCCAGCACCTGTTCCAGCAGCGAGAAATTCAACGTGAGCTCGTGTAGTATATTGCCGGAGATGTCTAGCAATGTGAGGCGCGGCTGAAGCTTTAGCACCTCCGATTCAAAGGTCGCAAGAAGATTGCGCGCCAAACTTAAGCGAGTCATATTCAAATTCTTATCGAAAATGCCGCGTGGCAGCGCTGTCAACCGATTGCCCGCCAAATTCAAATCCAACAATTTACGCAGCCCGGCAAAAACGCCCAGTGGCAGCTGTTCCAGCTGATTGTCAGCGAGCGACAGGTCCTTGAGCTCCTTCAGCGCATGAAAACTGTGATTATGAAGCACCTTGAGCAGATTATGCTCCAAGTGCAGTGTTGCCAGATTGTCGGCACCAAGAAAAATATTCTTGGGTATATCTTTTAGGCGATTATGACCCAAAAACAGGCTCATCAAATTGCTGGCGCCCTCGAATTGCGGCTTCTCGAACGTCTCCAGCGAGCAGTTCTCCATACGCAGCAGCTGCAGATCGGGAAACGTGTCAAACATTAGATGCGGTATTTTGGCAATGCTCGAATTGATGAACGTCAGCATCAGCTGCTTGGCAATGGGTGCTTGCGAGAGAATGACATAATCATTGCGTCCAATCTCGATGCCCGTGCAAATGTTTGCAGTGCAATGATCCTGCAGCCAAATGCGACGCAGCTGACCACCGGTGGGTGAAGCCGCGCCGCTGGCTGAACCAAACGTGAACCGCAGCACACTGCACACGATAAGCGACAGCAGCAGCGGCTGTGGCAGCCGCATCCTGTTTACCGTAGGACACGACTCCGATGCTTACAACACGAAATTTCAACTTGTGGCCACGAGAGTTAGAGACGTTTCGACTAGGCGACAAGCGCCCAAACGACGCGCACGCCACGGCGCAACTGGCTCTACTGTTTGCAACTGGACACTCAGTTCGTTTTAGTGGACCACAAGTTTTGGATGCGGGCTTGGGTCTTCAATTAAGGCACAGCATTGGCAGAGGGGCTGCAACCCCATGCTGCGTTCCATTGTACATCGGCAAACTCTTTAATTGCCCGAATACATTGCTTTTGATTTAATTCAATTAAATGCTGCACATACTTTTTATTTTCTAACTGGGTTTCATATATATTTGGCATACGTAATACTCGAATTGCACATATAATGATATAGAGCTTAGCTCAGCTGAACTTTCGGTTTCATTCCAACTGCACAGCTAGCTCCAACTATACTCAACTATATATTATTTTTATCTATTGTATTTAGTATTTTTTATATTTGTTATGCTTTTGTTGTCTGCCTGATGAAAATTAATGTTTTTTAAAGTAGGAAATGCCAAAATGCACAAAAAAGGGGGTGACCAATGCAGCGATTAGGTGAAATAAATATTACGGAATTCCATGTGAATCTAGGCCCGATTTTTATAGCTATTAGCAATTTTATTCAACTGTATTCAACTTGAATTTCATTTTTGAAATATCTCTTGTTCCAAACATGTAACAGGGATTTTTAAGATATGGTAGATCTATCCCTAGACTTATTTACTCAATGATGCCAAAGAAACATTTCATCCAGTAATATACAAATTCGTTTTCCAAACAAAACTAATGCGCTTCTACTTAAATGCCACACCCGGGGATCATCAAGGAAGATCACGCGAAAAGATAAACTAAGCCAAAGATAAGCTGAAAAGATAAACCTGAGCCAAGTCAAACCAGTTTTTGGAGCTCTCAGCTGACCCAGTTATCAAAGTGACCAAGCTTGTCACTAGGCTAGGCAGTTGAAATTGATTAATTAGCTTGAGTTGACTGAACCCTAGATCAAAGGCAAATTAATGTGATTTAAGTTGGCGAAAATTGTAACTAACTCAAAACAAAGCCTTTCTAAGAACTAAAAGATCTTATCTATTGGATAAATTTTGATATAAAAGACGTGGACTCAAAGCAACACCTAAACAGTAAGCTGAGATGACAGTCAGTGTTAAGATACTTGGTAAAGCACCGCTTGCAATATTCAGAAATAAGAACTTTCAATTAAAGATTCCCTTATTTCAGTGTTACTCCTTGGAATGGGCCTGTCTCAGGCGCGCCTACTTCGGGTACAGGCTTTGGGTCGCAGCGCGGGCTCGGAGAACAATGCAGATGAAAATGCTCCACAACTGGTGCTCTACGCTCCCGGGGAACAGCTGAAGCAGGAGAACCGAAACGAGCCCAGTTTCCATGAGCCACAGATAGTGGAACCGGAGTCTGAGAAGGACAGCCGTAAGGTGCCTGACTATCTGTACTCCAATTCGATACCCATGCTCAGCGAACCCAACATTAAGTATCGTCTGCCCCAGTTGACTGCATACCCCGTGGCCTATGGACCACAAATTGTCACCAATACAAACAGAAGCCCCAACAACAACAATAATCTAGGCTTAGATAGCGTACCATATGTGGTGGTGCCCCGTGTCCAGCTAGGCTTTAATGTGCAGGGTCAAACGGGTCTTAATTGGCCTGGCTTCAATCTCTTGCCTTCCAAGCAGCCAGGCGAACCTCCTGAACAGAAGGAAGAAACGCAAACTGCCTATATTCCGATACCAGTGCCAGGTCCACCAGGACCACCGGGCCCACCGGGTCCTCCAGGACCGCGCGGACTAACCGGACCAACGGGGCCACGAGGCAGAGATGGTCCACGCGGACCACCCGGAAACGCAGGCATTACAGCACAGACCCCACAGAGCATTTGGTATACCCAAAGCAATAGCAATATCAATGGGAATAAGCCGCAATATGAACATTTCTCGAGTGGTTATCAAAACTAAAGCGAATAAAACAGAAGATTAACTTATAATTTTGGGATTATTTTTGGTAAATTTAATTTTTAGGGCCATACAATTATATATCAAAAAGACTACAAGGAACACAAATCAAAGGATTTCCAAAGCCGTACAATTCTCTTAAGATTCTCAAACGAAATTTGATTTCTAAGAGGTAACGAAAGCTCCAAACATAGTATTTAACAGAACTAGTCAGTAAATGTCTTCAGTCAGTTCTTTCCATTGACTTAATGGAATGAGATGAATATTAAACTAACCATTCTCTTTCTTTCTATTATATATCTATCCCAATATTTACCTATAGATGTAACTTGTTCTCATTAATTGTATGTCTTCCACGATTTGTGATATCTTCTGAGTATTTCTCTATCACTCCTCCTGTCTGTATCCCGCTTTCACCCACTTTCTATATCTCTGCTTCTTGTTAGCGTTAGCTTAAGTACAGTCGCACCTTTATTCCCCAAATATCAACTCGCCGACATTTTTTATTCAGTTTTTCATGGGTATATGATATGGTGTGTTGTTGACACCATAAAGTGTCTATCTAAACGGTCGTGCTTGGTGTTTATTTATGGCATAGACGCACACACACTTACATAGACAACACGTACGCACACTAACGTATAATGATGATTGTGTGTAATTTAAATAGATTTTGATAGCGTTTGACGGGGGCAAAAGAACTGTTCTCTTTTTTTTCTTTTTGTATGTGGGTGCCCCATTGACGGCCATTCAATTGGTGACAGTTGACGGTTCACTCATGTGGTTCTAGTTTCTGTGTGCCACCTGACGACAACTATCTCTTTCTATTGGCAGCATCCTCTGTCACACACAGCCACCCACACACGTAGTAATAATGGTAAATGTACACACTGTACGAGCACCTACACACATACATTCATACATTCAAACAGCGCTGCTCATTCGTTTGCCGTTTAGGGTCGCCAGTCGCCTGCCCCGTTCATGATGGTAACAATCTGTGGCATAGTCTGATCTTATTGTAGTCGTTAGTTTTTATTGCTCTTTACTACTCAGCATTTACAATAGTTGTACATACTATGTAGTTGTTATCTTTGTTTTTGTTGTTTTTGCTCCGTTTACTTAAATTGATACGCAGCACGCATTTGTTTCAATTAAATGAAAATGTTTTATGTGCAGCGCTTCTCCGGTCGCATTTACAGCTGTAAAACATACAGGAAGGGCACTTTTGGGCATCCGGAGGTGTGCGTGTTTTAGAATGTGTGTGTGTTGAAAATGTATGTGTTTCTAATTGCGTAAAATATTAGAGGGCTTAGTTACTCTGCATATCACTGAACTAGAAATAAATCTTTTACACTTTACTCGAATGAAAGAAGTACTCTTACTTTGCAATCCCAGAATAAACTTCCGATGTGTTAATCTGTATGCGAACTGCTGCTATATTAATAAAAACCATATATGTATATATGTATGGCAAAACGAACAACAAGAGAACAATATTTTTTATATTTTTTAATATAAACATACATGCACTTATGTAGACAGTTTTGGGATTCAAATAAGGAAGGTGCAGTAGATATCACAACAAATATAAGTAATATTAAAATGAAGGAATAAAGGAATCAAGCATTGCATTTAAAAAAAATATATATAAATAATATAAGGAATAAATAATACAAATAATTAGAAAAAAGACATTTAACAGATACTCAGAAGAAAAAAATTAAATTTTTAACTTTGTTATTTACTGAAAAAATAATGCTCATTAATTAGTATACTGTAATAGGTCGCACTGCTTACACGGCGGTTTTCGACATTAAAGAGCTAATTCCTAAGTGCTTACGTTACATTGCAAAATGTATTTTAGAATTTTTTAGCAATTCAGCTTCCCCCAAATCTTTTCCCTGCGACAGACTGTGGCACATCTGTTAAACACATTTCTTATCTGTTAATGTGATGCGAACACAAGACTTAAACCTAAAGCGAAAAAATGAGGAAATTATCAGCGGGACGGGTCCCCACAAAAGGCAGGCATGAGAAATAACACGAGAACAGGCCAAAGCTGCGGCAAGGCACAAAAAATAAACAAAAACAAATAAAAAGAAAAAGGAAAATAAAACTCAAAAGCGGTAAATAAATTATATAAATGAAAGAACAGGAAACTCATATGTCGAAGAAAATATGAGAATTAAGTTGCCAGAGGTGTGTGTGTCTGAGCGCAAAATGTAAATTCAAAGATGTGTGTCAAAAAATTAAAAAAAAAAATTTCAGGTTTAAAATACCCTTGTTACATCAAATATTACCCTTAGAATATAAGCTTTACCCATAAAAAAATGAATTAGAGTTGATAAAGAAAAATAAATTAAATAAAGTCTTATTTGACCAATACGCCCATGATAATCTATATGATATTAAAGTACACAACTGACGTGTATTTACTTTAGTGAAAGAATATCTCCCCACAGTTTTTCTAACAGACCGTTAAAAAATATTGATAGAAATTTAGATTTAAATGTAACCAAAAGCACATACGTTCAATAAACATAAGGAATCTTTTAAATGACAGTTTTTTTTAAATTTACTAAAATTCTAACTTCAAGATTATATTCAGAAAATTTTTCAAATAAAAAAAATATATACATATATATTTCTAAATATATTTTTTTTAAATATGATGATGTCTACTTTATAGGGTTCAACTTTCAATGTGGTATATATTTTATGTGGAAATTAAAAAAGCCTTTTAGCAGTATCGATATTGTAACTGTAGAATTTATGAAATAGCTTCCGAGTTATGAGTATATTTATATATGGGAATATATGCTGATAAGTATGTATAAATGTGCCAACAACAAAAACGATTAGACCAACAACGCTTGACAAAACGACATACTTCGGGCATTGATACATCAACAACAAATTGTCCAACATGTTAGAGCCTTGAGGGCGGGTACAACCGAGTTCACAATTCTCTGTCATAGCTTAAAATCGTTTTGAAAAGAGTATTTTTTTGAATTTTCAATTTGTGACTCTAAGACTGTAACTCCAATTTTCTAATAGTGGGCTAGGAAAATCCTCATGATTCAAAATCCATATACTCGTTTTCACTTTATTAATAGAGGGTTATATAAATAGCTTGACCTCCTCTTGCTCTTCTTCCTTACGTTTCTCTTTATACATCAAAAGCGAATGGCGAATATTTCTTGGTCTTGTTGTCGGTTTTCTTTTCGTGTGTTGATTAAGTTAAAATGTTAATAAATATGATTATCGTGTCGTTTTTCTCGCTGTTGCCAGTGCTGCCATTACCATGATTATGGCAATAAATAATAAAGCGTGTGCCCCATGACACGCCACTTGGCAGAAAGGCAACCCGAGAAAGGCAGTTTTTGGTTACTGACTCAATTGACGTTAACTCGAAAATATCAAAACACGCAGAAAATTGTCTCAGTTAAAACTGAGTCGACTGCGCCTAAAATGTTTGCTTTGATGTGCGCGCGTCACGTGGCGTATACGCAATGCGAGGAGTTTAAAGTAACATATTTTGATTATATTTAGAGGAGCAGAAATGTATCATTATCTTTTTGGATTCATGCGATGTGTTAAAATTAAATACGGCCAAATGTAATAAAAAATTCAAGTAAGTTTCTTGATATATTCTTGAATTCAAAATAACATGAAAACAAAAATACCAATATATGCCGCAAATATATTTTTATACACGAAGCTACTTTTCTAACGACCATATATGTATATACATATGATAAAGCGGTCTGACCGGCTGTTTTCGACAAATGTCCTACTTGAAACAGATTTAAGACTTGGAGACTATTTTGCATAGAAACCGACCGACGGACATGACATAGTTGTATATACTGATTAGGAATATATATAAATAATGGTGTCGGAGACGTCTCTTCCATACGTAACGCATTTCATGATTAAATTAAGAAAATTATAACACATATCTCTAGAATGTTATAATTGAATAGAATACGAAAACATACGACTTAAGCGTAGAGATCGAATAACTAGGTTAGTTTATAAAACTCTTGTGTTCTATGAATTTAATATAAAATAACTTGGCACAACTTGACAGAGTTTGCAGCATTTAGCTCAGCTCCAAGTTTCATAAAAAACGTTGCAAATTTTTTGTTGTTGCAAAATATGAACAGGAAAGGAATGCCGCCAATGTAAATAGCAGCAGAGCGGGTGAGTTGTGGGAGGGCGCTGGGTGCTGGAATTAAACAAAAGTTGCTTGTAATTTGCAGTTTGCCAAGTTAGCAAAATGAACATTGGCCGGAATTGCGCCGTTTTGCGTACATAAAAAAAAGACAACGTAAATGGAGACAAAAAAAAAAATAGAGAGAGAGAGAGAGGCGAAAGAGAAGAGAAATAAATAATACAGAGAAATGCTGGTACAAGATAATAGGATAAGGCAGCAGCAGCAGGCAAATGCAACAAGAGGAAACGTCGCCATTTTGATGCCAGCTTTTTGTTCGACTTGCATATTTTATGAAGCGTATTTCACAAGGAGAAGCGTATTTCGCGCGCCAACTCTCGCAAAATGAGCAAATTATTTTGCTGAATTCAATTCACAATATACGTGTTTAATGTGAATCGATGCGATACTCGAAGTAGTACTTAACATTTTATTATTATTTATTCATTGGACACTATGGACGCCTACTTATCAATTTTTAATGACAATCGCATCAAAATTCTCGGGGCGTAATTCGGGAACCAACACCATAAGTCGCTTAAGTGTTGAATACAATTTATCTCGCAAAAATATGCGTAGCTGCTCGCATAGCATACTTTTAGGCACACCTAAATGCCTCGCCCTAGTGTAAATGCTCAGTTCATTAAGTTGATTTATGGGCTCAGGTCTTGTGTTACAAAACAAACTTTCACGCTTAAAGAGCTCTTAAAACATTCGCGAAAGTTCATATTTCAAACTTGCCCGATGTCGTGAGAATTTATGCTGAAATATACGTACTTACAGAGCG